ATCTCACACTTTGACACTCAACTGATTTGACCTGTTATCTAAATCTCCAGTTTCTGAACACTTTTCATGATTTGTGTTTTAATGATCTGAGGGCTTGGAGCCAACTTGGACTTGATGTGCTCTGACTAATTTACTTGTGCTTTATGTGCTCTGACTAATTTTTTCCTTTTCAATTGTAATTTGTAGAGTTTTGATCAGAAGAGGAGTGGAAGATTCAGACTGGATGGCTTCATATCACTCTGTATATTTGTACAGTCTGCGCGGTAGGTGGAATCTTAATTTCTTATACAGTGTATTTTGATTGACCAGTTAGAGTTATTAGCTTCATGAAAATGTCAGAAAAGTACCTTGCTGAAGGTATTAAAAAATGTTGTGCTCATAAATCATTTATCATTGATGTAGTCAGCTGCTTGTAAATCCCTTGCTTGCTTTAAGCTGTGAAGGCTGGATCCAGAAATTTGTATCTGTTTGTGAACTGCTTTAGAGACCATTAGACTACGGATCTAGGCTGTTTTTCTTTCTTATTTATGATTATTTGATTGTCTAAACCATCAAAACCTATCCATTCATTATCGGACCTAAAAAATTTGTAGTAGACGAGTTTTATGTCAAATGTCGAGTGGCAGCATTTTTGGGCATCTGGCCCAACACCTACATGTCTTTTATTTTCTCTTTGATATGTTCTGTGGTGTTTATGAGCTGACATGCATATTTAGAGTTCATGGTCCTAATATGTCAACTGAATCATGTTGGGGCTGCAAAAAAATTTTTTTTTTGGTCAAATGTTGCTTGCTGGCAAGACCAGAGTTTTGGCAGATACAGCTTCTAACTCTCTTTATTAGGAGTATTTGACAAAATTGAACCTTGTGTTAATGTCTTATTTTTGCAGGAACCTGTTTAGTTCATTTGATACAAGTAATCAAGGAAGAGTGACTCTTGATTTAAATCAGTTTATTTACTGCAGTGAGTATAAAACTTCTATTTCATTTTAACTTAATGATGATTTTTCTTCAGGCATCACAGTTTACTCTTAAAGATAATTCTCTAGCCTGCTTGAATACCTTTTGCTTCTTCTTCTTTTTATTTGTTATTTCTTTTTTTTTTTTGGGGTCTGGATTTCCATTTACTCCTCCATGATATTTTAACATTAGAGCTTGCTGATTTCATACTTTTGCCTATTTATGTTCATACTGCATTGTAATGCTTTGGCTCCATCTGTAATCTTTGTTTGGGTTCTTAGCTCTCTTTCTTTCCGTGTTTTGTAGCTGCAAATTGCAGAATATGATAAGCGCCGATATTTAAGTATGAGCGATCATTAGTCGCAAAGGGTAAAAGCAGGCAAGCATTTCGATTTAACAGTGCAAGGGTATTCCTGTTTGCTCTTGTATTATTCTCTTTCAAAGCTTCCGTTCTCCCATAATTGCGAGTCTTTGATTCATTGATCTTTGGAGAGTCTTATTAGATCAAACATTGTACGCTAAGTAAAGATCTGTACTTATCGTGTGCCTACACTCTTTCAAGTGAATGTATATATATTTGTTGTTTGAGTAAAAAATATTGAGCAACAAGCGTTTCATCGAGGCTCAAGAAATAATACCATTCTGGTACTGAAAAAATGGTGAACAATCTTTTTTCGCATTTTTTGGCTTTTAAAGTTTACCTCTTAATGTTTGATATGCCAGCCGGGGAGGGGTTTGTAAATCAATGGACATTATAAGGATGCTTTTCACGAGCTTGAGAATAGCTTAGGGGTCTGCAAATTAATGCTTAGGATTGATCGACTTTTTTGTTTTTTGGTGGCGTTGGGGGTTTTGGGTGGATTGCATTTTGAGTACATTTACATGCAGAAACAATGACTTGGGGAACAAATTCGAGCAGGCAACAAAAGACCTATTGATGTTTTTGGCTGGGAGGAGCTGGGCAGGGAACAATTTTTTTATACGACCTGTTCTCAATCATTTCTATCGCCGAAGTGGAACTCCTGATTTCAGCCTTGCTGAAGCTCAAGTCAATGTGTTTTCTACATGTACATTTGCCCAGTTTAATTACTTTAGGAAACCAATATGGCGAATTACCTCAGGTAAAAGCACGAGCAGTTGTAATTGCGGGTAGCTTGTCCTCTTGGAGTTGAGTTTCTCCTGTACAAACAGAGAAATTTAAGTGAAGAAACTCAAAGCTATAATAAAGTTTTGAGGAAAAGGCTGAAAGTAATCAGACACGAAAATACCATATTCATCTCTGATTCTTCTCATGCGTTCATTTCCCATGTTTTAGGTTTGTCCCTCTTTTTAAGGACCAATCCTGAATTAAGGAGGTTTACGTACTTCAACAAGCCAGTCAATTAGAGAGCACCCTTTAGGTCAGGAATGCTAATATCATGCTCCAAGAGTGCAGCCGCGCAGATGTAGAGATCTTCACTCGTTAGGTCAGTGATGCTAATCTCTTCGCTGCCTTCTAGTTCCTGAAAAACTATGTGCTCTGCTGACTTTAACATGGCAATTGGCAAAAACCGAAAGCCATTGTGATCTTCAACATAATCGTTTGGTCGATCCACGACATGCGGCCACGCCTCTTACATTTTTGTATTCCAGATACAAGCAGCAAATACAAAAGTGCCGTTCCACATACTGAGCTACCAATAATCCCCGCAAGAGCAATGTCCATCCTCGAAATGATGGTAGCGAATTGGATCTCTGATAACGATGCTTCGACTCTCCATTTTTGCCAAAAGTTTTGCAAAATCATGGCAGTCCCCGCAGATCCTCAGGTTTTTCCTGATCCTAATGGTCTTCCCACTGGACAAGGCCATAATTCCAAATACCATAGCCAGTTTTTCGCTGTGGTAGAGGAGTGAGTCTTCCATCTGCTCCCCCTCGAGATCTTGCAAGACAAAATTTGCATCGGGAACATAACCCATCTCTTTTAACCTGTGGATTATCTGTTTCAACTCCCTCCTAATAGCGATAATCTGTGGGTGGGAATTGTCTCCCAATATGAAAGCGTGCACACATTTATTTACTTCAATCCAGCTACATCCTGGTTCTTTCTTGACTCCTTTATGCCTCATAGCATTCCTAACTTCTGTTATCTCATCCCATCTCTGAGAATTCGCATAAATATTAGACAGCAATATATAAGTTCCCGCATCATTTGGGTCATGCTTAATTATTTGTTTGGCAGCATAGGCAGCCAGGTCCATGTTACGATGAACTCTGCAAGCACCGAGCAATGCTCTCCATGTCACAGCATCCGGTTCACATTCCATTTTGTGAATCAGTTCCACGGCTTCGTCAAGCCTCCCAGCTCTCCCAAGAAGATCAACCATGCAACCATAATGCTCTCTTCCTGGATCAATCCCATATAGCTTCTTCATGGAACGGAAGTAGTAGCGTCCATCATCTACCAATCCGGCGTGGCTACAAGCAAACAGAACTCCCAAAATGGTAATGTGATTTGGTTTGATCTTTGAGACCGTCATTGCCTTAAATAATTCCAGAGCTCTCCTGCTAAAACCATTCTGCGCCAAGCCCATGATCATGGTGCTCCATGAAATCACGTCCTTATCCGCCATCCGACTGAAAATAGAATCCGAGTCCTTGAAGCTGCCACACTTGCAATACATGTCGAGGAGTGCATTGTTCAGGATCAAGTCCTGATCATACTTGAGCACGTGAACATGAAGTTGTCTCCCTAATTCCAGGAGAGCTAAGCTAGTGCAAGCTCTCAGAACACTAGTCAGTGTCGACTGATCAGCCTGAAAGCCAGCTCTCTTCATTCTTTTATAAAGATGTAGTGCTGGATCACCATCACTATTCTGCGCGAAGCCCCCAATGATGGAATTCCAAATGACCTGGTCACGGGTTACCATCTCGCCAAAAACGCAAAGGGCAGAACTCATTTCACCCCACCTGGAATAAACATCAATCAGAGCGCTTCTTACGTAGACATCAGATTCCAGACCAACCTTAATAATGCTACAGTGAATCTGAGTAAGAAGCTGTAATTCATGGCAGGCCCTCAAAACCGAAGAGAAAGTAAACATGTTGGGGCAGACCCCATCTCTGAGCATCAGAATCAAGAGGTCCAAGGCCCTGCGTTGGAGGGGCGGGGAGGATGCAGCAGCATAAGCGGAAATCATGGTTGTCCAGGAGATGACATTTCTGCGAGGCATTTGGTCGAACAGGGCTTGAGCTTCGGGAAGCAGCCTGAATTTGACGTACATGTTAAGGAGATGGTTGAGAAGAAACGTTTTGGGGCGATATCCCGGGGAGAAGACGTGACGGTGGATGCTTCTCCCATGTTCGATAGCACGGCGAGCCGCGCAGCAATTGATGAGGTGGGAGTAAGCAAGGGAGTGGGCAAAGATGTTGCGCTGTTGCATAGAGTCCAATGCTTTCATAGCCCTGGGGAGGTCCCCCCGGTAGCAGTGGTCAATGAAGTTATCGATCACTTTAGCATTCTCAGCTGCTGCTGAGGATGCATTGCAGTTGGTGGTAGGCGCACCATAATAGCCGCCACCTGAGGAGCGCCGCGACGGTAACGACGGCCCTGCTAGCAGCGCTAAGGAAGAGAAGAAGCGGAGTGGAATACATGGCCGCTCTCTGACCACCACCTCCACCACCCTCCCCCTCCCCCTCATCATTACTACTCTCAACAACCGGTCGAGCCACCTTAATGCAAAAGGAAAAAAAAAAAAAACTCTCCTTACGAGTCTAATCTAATCTACCCAAACTGTCATCACTTCTCAATCTTTGCAATTTTTAAGATCAAATCACCGGAAAAAGAAAAGCCCATCACATCTATGATCCCCTCTTAATCCCAACAATTGTAGAGCAAAAGCACGCAAAAGAAAACGGCCATCTTTATTTATGGTGTAGTTTATGGAGGCTGTGCGTAAATGGCTATGGGATTGGGGGCTGAAAGAAAGAAACAATTTTGATTGATTGATAGTGGTAAAGTCAGTCAAATTCTAACACACACTAGTCTCTCTCTTTAGTGCTCAAGCATCCCATGAGAAAAATTCTAGTGACTAGAAGAATATGGTGATATATATATAAAGTGTGGCGTGACAACAACTAGAATATTATTGTCCGACCAAAGTGTTGCGTTAGCAGCTGAGGGCTGGTAGATAGTACAATACGTTCCCCTTCAGAGTCTTCAGAGTCTTCGCGGCGGCGTGGGGCGGTGGGCGAGGAACTTGGTACGATATGATTACTCTTGCTCGCCTTCTCCTCCTCCTACTCCTCTTCCTGGTACTCTTCCTTTCTTCTTCAGCTAGCAAAGCCGCTTCAGCAGTATCCCAGGATGAAGATTCTTCATCGGCTTCATCGATTATATCGAGGTTCCGGCAATACCTCCAGATAAACACCGCCCAACCCAAACCCAACTATCATGAAGCCGCCGATTTCTTAATCTCCCAGGCCAACTCCCTCTCCCTCGAATCCCAAGTCCTTGAATTCGTTCAGGGCAAACCACTGGTCCTTCTCAAGTGGCCCGGCAAGAAACCCGCCCTTCCCTCCATCCTCCTCAACTCCCACACCGACGTCGTTCCCTCCGAGCACCACAAGTGGGCCCACCCTCCCTTTGACGCCCACCTCGACTCCGCCACCGGCAACATCTACGCCCGCGGCTCCCAGGACATGAAGTGCGTGGGGATGCAATACCTGGAGGCCATCCGGAAGCTTAAGGCTTCTCCTTCCTTCCGCCAGCCTCTTCGGACCGTCTACCTCTCCTTCGTCCCCGACGAGGAGATTGGCGGCCACCCCGGCGCCGAGATGTTCGCCCATTCCGAAGTTTTCCAGAAGATGAACGTCGGGGTGGTGCTCGACGAGGGTCTGGCCTCCCCTGATGATTTTTACAGGGTTTTCTATGCTGAAAGGTCACCCATGTGGCTGGTCATCAAGGCCACTGGCCCTCCCGGACACGGGGCCAAGCTCTACGACAACAGTGCCATGGAGAACCTGCTGAAGAGCATTGAGAGCATCCGCAGGTTTAGAGCTGCTCAATTTGATCTCGTCAAGTCAGGCTCTAGAGCCGAGGGGGAAGTTATCTCTGTTAATATGGCCTTTCTCAAAGCTGGCACTCCTTCCCCCACTGTAAGTCAGTGCAGTGTAGAATATGGACTGGACACACAACCAAGTAGACTGTATTCAACTTCTGCTCTGGCATCTTCAGAGAGAATTTTCATGCCTCAATTTATTAGGAATAATATGAACTTTCTTTTTTCCATGTTTGACTGGATCTTTCAGGCTGAACATATACCCAAAAAAAAAACACACACACACAGAGTGGACACCGTATGTAGATCCTCTGGGAAATTAGCGTGCCTTCTTTGGTATTTTTATTATCACATCATAATTATAATCTCTTGGTTACTGTGGTTTGAAAGAAAAAAGGAGCATTATATAACCTGGCAGCATTTCTTTTTTCTTTTACACGCATTAGCATCGGTAGTTAATATAAACAAAATAATCTGATGCGATATTTTGCGTCTTTGATTTCATGACATATAATTTGGTGTATCAATTTTGGGAATTTGGTTTTTGGTTTTAAAAGGGGCCCTTTACTCCTTACTTCTTTGCAGAATCTTTCAACAAAAGGCAAAAGTACACTTTTTGTTGGATATAGATGCCAAATGTAGCCATCCCTATTGGAATGACCAACTTTTCCCACCTGTTTTGTTTTGACAGGGGTTTGTCATGAATCTACAGCCATCCGAAGCACAGGCAGGTTTTGATATCCGAGTCCCTCCAGCGGCAGATCACTTGTCCTTGGAGATACGTATTGCTGAGGAATGGGCTCCTAGTTCACGTAATATGACCTTTGAGGTAATGTGAACGTTTTGCTATGTTTCTTTCATGTGTGTTTCTTATGAACTGTAACGAAACTAATTGACCCAACAAGTTTTACATTCTTTCTTTGCTTTTCACATAGCTTTTAATGTTTGTAAATCGATTGAATGTATTTTACATCTGCTGATGTTGGAAACTGTTCAACCTGAATAGCTGTTTGACTAATAAAGCGCACGATTTGCGTGGCTTTTACCTACTTGGGAAACCTGTTCCTTTTGAGCTTATGCTATATTAGATCGACTGTGTCAAATTGTGCATCATTTAGATGTAGTCTTGATTAAGTTTGAAGGCCTTATATTGCAAGATTGATCACTCCTACCCATTAAATGCGCATTTGATGGAAATGCCAAAATATTATGCAGAGTACATCAGATTTCCGATAGCATGTGAAATGTTTCGTTTTCCTGAAGAGGGAATGATTTGAAATACTAGTGTGGTTATAGCATTAATTAATGTTTCAGCTGGATGACCAGTAATGGTGGATTGCCTGAATGATTTTGAAAAGAGATGGAAATTGGATGTGGGTTCCAGTGGCAAAATATTTTTGGAAGATAAGATTCCAACTCTTATTTGTTAAACATAGCATTTGACTGATTTTGAAAAGAGATGGAAATTGGATGTGGGTTCCAGTGGCAAAATATTTTTGGATGATAAGATTCCAACTCTTATTTGTTAAACATAGCATTTGACTGCTGTCATGGGCAACAATTGGCGAGACGTACAATTGCATATAAAAAGCCCCTTGTTTTAGAAAATTGGAGTGTTCTAACTATTCTCGTAGCTTGGACAGTTCAAACAAAAGGCATCTGTGTATGACAAATTTGGGAAGCCGATGTTGACGGCTCATGATGGTTCCAATCCTTGGTGGGGACTGTTAGAAGAAGCTATAAAAAATGCTAATGGAAAAGTTGGAAAGCCAGAAATATTTCCTGCTTCAACGGATGCTCGCTATTTCCGGGAGCAGGGCTTGCCAGCAATTGGCTTTTCTCCCATGGCAAATACTCCCATTCTTCTCCATGACCACAATGAGGTGAACATTGGCTCTTATACTCTGGCTGGTATCTTTAAACTGTACATGTATCCCCATGCATGTTTGCTGGTTTATCTTTTCTGAAAACACACTGTTATTCTGTGTTTGCATGACCAAATTTATTTTAGATATCTCTGTCTGGAAAGGAAGAGAAGTGTGCTGTCTGTATCTGAAGTTTTACTGTTGCACAAGTGACTATTTACCTCTTTGTTGGAACAAGGCGCAGACTTGATGGGTTCACCCCTAGTTGTAAGATCAGCTAGGAATCTTCTCTTTCCTTTACCCAGTAATCACTAGCAATGACTTCTCTTGAACCTATTCTCCCTGGCCTCAGAGACACAAACACAAGAACAACAAAACACCACCACCACCAACAACAACAACAGTAAGGCATGATTTGTAAGTCGGAGATTAAATATGAAAATGTCAAATTTTGTGAGGGAAAATTGTGGAAGAAATATGAAATATCAGCCTGGAATTTATTCTACCTGTCACAATTCTTTTTGTTCCATGGTGATTGCTTTTTCCTAAATATAGAGGCCGCATGGATTTTGTTTTCTGCTTGTTGTATTGACATTAGTCTAAGAAGCATGAAAAAGCTGATTTGAGACACAGAGATACATGAGAATGCGTAGTTAGTAATGTGCAATAATCTATAATCTAGGACTTGGACCACTAAAGACATGGTATAAAAGTAATGTATTAATATAGAGGCTTTTGTTTAGATATGTCCTTTTGTATGGCTGGTAAAAAGGAGTTTAGTCTTGGGTACGAGAGACATTTGAACAACAACCTGGGAAAGGTTGGAGCATAGGAAGCGACATGCAGTAGGAACTTAGTTGACAGAGAAACAGAAAGGTTTTCCCGATATTCTTCTCCTGATGTTTTCTCACATTCTTGTACTTGTGTTGAATGTCTTCTGAGTGTGTTAATTGTTACATGAAGTTATAACTCAAACTTGTGTCCAGAGGATGCAAGTACTCAGGAAATGTCATCATGGTGGTCATAGTGCCATCAGTAATCAACACTTGCAGGAAACTTTGCCAATTGTTTGTGGAAAGCATGTGTTGTGAATACTGTAACGTTGAATATGTTTTAGATTTAGGTTTCGTTTCTCTGTATCTTTAACAGCAAGCTGAAGCAGGGCATTATAAGTGCAATAAATTCCGTTCATTTCTGCAGTTCTTGAACAAGGACGAATATTTGAAAGGGATTGATGCATACGAGTCAATAATAAAAGCCTTTGCATCATTTGACGAGCGAACAAGTGATGACGAATCCAAAGCAGAACTGTAAGGAGATGGCTGTCGGGATGTGGGTGGCAATTTCTGCATCAACGGTAACAGCGTATCTGAATGTGTGGTATTCCATTGGTATTACGTACTTTTTAAGTCAGAAGCAGCATTAGTGAGCTGGGCATTTATTGTCCGAGAGAGGTTGACATGTCATGTAGAATTGCTGATATTTTTCCTCAGTCCCACCAACGTACGACTCTGCCGCTTTTTCACTCTTCTTTGTTTAGATTGATTTAAACTTTTGCTGTCTGCGGCTACATGAATAAGTCCATGTATAAAGGAGGAGTGAGGATGATTAGTTTACTGGAACAGATGAATATAATGGCTTGGTTGACTTGACGACGCCCTTTCAATCCTTGTTGTAACCCTGCTGCCCATCCCCCTCCCCCTCCCCCTCCCCTTGGTTATTGTTTCTCTCTCTCCCTCTTCCCCTCTCCCAGGTTCCTCTATAGCATCTCGTACATATCTCAGAATATTTTCTCCATCTTATAGCAGACTGGGGGGAGAGAGAGAGAGAGAACCCCATGCAGCTCTTAGTCTATTGAATCCGCTCTTAGAGAGAGAATAGTAAGCGAACACCGTTCAATGGGCAGTGCAAGCTAAAGCTTTTAGGTTTTGCCCAGAGAAATGCTCAGCTACTTAAAGCTGCGCGGTGAAAGCTCTCAGGTTTGTCCAGAAAATCCTCTGAGTTATTCCGATTTGGTTAGTGACGCACTTCATTGATTCATTTAAAGTTACATAGAACTGTGTTATCGTTGTTGTAGTTATCTTTTCATAAGTTTATTAAGCAATTGAAACAAGTAATTTGTGTGCCATTTGGACTGTTGCACAATGGATAGTTACAGAATACCTAATCATGGCCACTTGTTAATAGAGTAAACAATTATATACTACCAATTGTAAAAGGGTTTACAAAAATATACACTAATAAAAGAATCAATACAAAAGTGATAATCACTGTCGGCTTCTCCAAATGATTAATGAAATTCTTTACATGTCAAAATCAAAAAAATATGTATGAAGATTAATTAATACAATTGGGAACCCTCATATGCATTTGATCAACAAAATTGCACATCAGCAGCAGCAGCAGGATGTAGAATTCCTAACTCTTATATGCTGCGATGTTAATTCAATCGTGACGACAATGTATACACTATCATCATCGTTGTTGTTCGAAAATTAATCTATAAAATAAAGTAAAATAAAATGCTCCTCTTCCTCCACCGCGGATGGGATGAGAGGGGTGAAATGAAGCAGAAGAAGCAGGATCCACGATCGAAGTCATAGCAGTAGGTTATGAAATACTGCTGCTTACTCCTTAGTGCTAATTAACCACTACTAAGTAATAATGCTGTGTCCGAGACTTGGGGGGTAGAGTAGATCCTCCCCAGAATCAGAATGGTGTTTGGGTGTCGGAGCCCCAGATCATCCCTCTCCCGCAGTTGCAGGATCCAAGAGGACGACCTCCTCCTCCTCCGCCTCCTCCTGGTGATGAAATTTCTCCCGCCGCCAACTCATCCATAACTACCCTTGCTCCACCTTTACCTTTACAACCCACCGCCAAACACCAAATGTCCAATGACTAATGATGGGGCTGCCCATCTCGTGTACGTCCGTAGAAAGCCCGACCCACCACATCTACCACCTGCCTCTTCTGACCCGCACCAACCACCCATACCCGCTCTCGATTCTGAATCGCCACCTGGGAAATCCGTTCATCATCAATACCAGTCTTCTTCTGAAAATATTTCTGGCCCTAATCAAGTCTCTCCTGGGATTTCATCTTCCATGCGCACTCCTCCTGCTCCCACCAAATTGACTGCTATTCCTGCCGCTACTCCAATTACGCATTGGGAAAATGATCCGTCTTGCAAACTAAACAACTCCCTGCACAAGTTGGACCGCTCAGATCAAAAGGATTATATTGAGAGTACGTCTTTTTTACTTACCTCATTCTCCGTCTTCTTCTAAATCATGCTATTAATTTGTTACTCAATTCTCGCCGCCCCTCCTTGTTTTGCAGTGCTTCGATCTCTTTCCTCTGTGGAACTTAGTAAGCATGCTGTTGAACTGGAGAAGAGGTCAATTCAGCTTTCCCTGGAAGAAGGTTGTATATGCTGTTAATTGCTTTTCTCTTGCTTCACTCTTTATTGTTTTTAGGTGAAAATGTGGCGCACAGACCAGAAATTGACAACATCCATATTCGTATTGCATCGCTCTTTATTGTCTGGGATTCAATGCCTCATGCGGCATTTTTTTTCCCTTCTGCTAGAGTTCCATCATACTGATCATTTTCTCGTAATATTCACTCAGTTCTTCCTCCAAACCACAATGATTCCATGCTCATGATGATTTTCTTTCCTCACTGTGGTACGACAGAAGCATTTTAATCTTCTCTATGTGAAGATTCATGCCACCAGGACTGCCCGCTTGAATTTTCTGTCTGCCAAGGAAAATATCCAGGGTTCTGATGTTTCGAAGTTTTGCAAGATCTATTGAGCTATTAACTGCAAAAGAAATAAATAAATAAACTCACCTCGTTCACATTCATTAGGCTGAGCTTTGGTCATATCTGCCCTCGTTGCAAGTTGAATGTGATCGATGTCGGGCTTCCTTTTGGATACCTTTGAACAATTCATGCTACCTCTTTCCAGTTGCCCTGTCTTTCCCTTCCCATTTCTGTCAGCTGGATGAGTCGGAAGGAGGCAATCACCTCAAAAGCTGAACCTCCCAAGTGTAGACCTCTTAGTCTCTTGGGCTTGCCAATTTACAGTCAGATGAAAAAGCAATACAACCTTCAGCTGTCAATCTCTTAGTTTCTTAGCACTTTCTTAAGATCTGATCAGCCAATAAAGAATACAATGACAATGCAAATTCAATTCAAAAGTCCAATATAGGGCTACAGGAACATCATTTGTCTATCCTTCCTCGTGAGTGCAGGCTTATGTGTCTTAGGGAAATATAGTTAGCTGGCTTTGCTTTCCTGCAGCTGCCGCTTCACCCATTCTGAAGCATCAGTGCCAAAGATGAGCAATTTGGTTGACTTACTGCTCCAGCCATGACCGTCTTTTGTATTATGTTACTATATTGATTGCCAATTCTTGTTGCTCTGAGATTTTCTCCAATTTTTTGGCTTCTGCCTTGTCAAATAACTCATTTTCCTGGCCCATTTTGTTAGGCAAAGACGAGCCTAGAATCTTCTAAATTTGCTTGCAATTTCTGTCTTCACTACATGTACTACTACTTTGCTTTTGCTCTATTTTGGTTTGAGCATATGGTCACAACACGTTACACAGAAATTGTAAGGAACTAATATCATTTCTTGTCCTAATTGTTTCCTGTCTGGTTCAGCAAAAGAGCTTCAACGAGTTCAAGCCCTTGATGTCTTGGAGAGATACTCGAAGCACTCGAGAGTGCCCTCGAACCAACAAAACATGTAAAGACAATTTAGGTCAAGGGGCACGACCACTGGTCAGTTGTAGACCTTGTTACTGTACTTTTAAGCTCAGCATACCCTGTTATGTTGTAATTACTGTTTCTGTAAACATTTAGACGTCCATTGGCTCCGTCCATTGACATGTAGATATTCCTAAGTGTATTTAACCGCAACATAATTTTACAAAGTGTAATATTCTCATTTGTTGTTTTGTCACTCTTAAATGTTAAGCAAATTTATACCTCAAAGAAAAGAAATTGCAAGGCAAATTTAGCTCTTTCTTGCTTTGAGCAACTGCAAAAGATGGGGAACTGGCGTCATGGTTTCTGAAGTCTGTTATCGATATAGTTTGTAAATTCTATATCATCAAATGATTGGGTGCCATTATAGATTGTGTTAATGTACCTATATAAACCTTAAATTCAACCAAAGATCTGCTACATTGCCTTCAACAGATGATCAAGTGAAAGGACGCAGCAGCATCCCAGACATGCCGTCCATATGCAAATGTTTCAGAAGAACTGTAGAAATCCAAGGACATACTTGACAAGAATTGCAAAATTAGAAGTGCAAAGAGTATGTGATGGAGGAATTTGTGTATCATGCATCTTTTTTCTCGTTTGATGGAGGTAACTTTCCTTGATCTATCCGGTAGCACAGAGTCGAGCATCCATGGATGGCCCTACGCGTTGTGGTTTTTGATGATACATACGGTAGGCATGGCATGGGAGAGTCCACACAACTTTGGGACAGGTACGGTTAGTAATAGGTGAAATTGTTTTAATTTTTTAATGATTTGGTGTACATTCTCATGATTTTGATATATTTTATAATGTACAACAAAAAGTTATATGAGTGTACACGAAATCATGAAATATATCAAATGTTATATGGGAAAACGTCAAATCATTAAAAAAAAAAAAGAAAGTAAAACAACCACATCAACCGTACCTATTGCTAATCGTACCTATCCCGTTCTCCTTCCATACAACTGGCTATGTAAATAGGATAGTATTATGCATAGTTATTCAATTCGATCCGGCTCGACGGTTGAATCGATCAAATTGGTGGACCGGCCATGAAATCGGGCTGATTTAGTAGCAATTGGATCGGAGTTGCAGACAATTCGCTTTGAACCATTTGATCCGGACGGTCGAATCGGTACCTCACTAAACTAGTGGTTTTTTATGAACTCGGTGGGTTTTGAAAATTTTTCTGAAATTATCTTTTTACCCAATTTTTTAATTTGACCAATCACACGAGTATGGGCATTGTCGTCCTTTTGACAATTAGATAAGAAAAATTGAAAAGGCTTTGGGAATTAGGGTTTCTTTCTTTCTTTGAATTCATTTATGTTTGTGTATAATATCAATATGAATTCATGAACTAAGGAACACGTATAGATATAACGTGTGTGTATGAATTATGAAATATGAATAGATTATTACTTGTTAACATTTAAGAATTTCTATACTTATATTATAATTTATATGTTTATCTGATTATATTATATATATTTTTTATTATATAGTGTAATCCGACGGTTCAACCAGTAACCCGCCAACAGCCAACCCGATTCTGTTACTGGGTTGAAGGCCGGATTGGTTTTAATAACTATGGTATTATAACTCCCTTGGACACTAACCACGCTTTTCCTTGTTGAAAATCGTAGCTCTTGGTGCTAAGTTGGCAACAATTAAAACTCTATATATATAAATATCATTAGGAAAGTACAAGGGTATGATCAGTGCCAAAACGTAAGCAAGTATCATTATTGTCACATAAGTATTATATTATAGGAGGAATTGTCGCAAGTAGTAGTTTTCTATAAAATAGTTCGTTCCCATCTCGCTGACGTATCGAATATACCAAAGTCTTGGCGTATCTGTGGATATACTTCGATTGACCGTTCCTTGTCTGAGTTGGATCCCCCTGTCCCTTGAGGAAGAGAAGGTGGGAATCTGATCACCGGATTCCCTGGCAAAGCGACTACTGCAACTACTACTACTACTAATAACGAGTAAAGATAAGAAGCCAAAGAGTTCGGCTGACTTTTGCTTTAGTATTTTTTTTTTTTTTTTTTTTAGCTTAACGGCACATCTAACCTAGCCTAGCCTACTCCTACTCCTAAGGGGAGGGGAAACCTACTCTATGGGGTGGCCCAACTGAGCCGGGGGGAACCTAATGGGGACTGAACCACCATCAGACCAGACGGGTGCACCACACACCCGTATGGATTTAGAACAAACCTCATATTGAGGGACATTGATGGGAGGCAAGGTTTGAACCCTTGACCTCCCACCCCACAATTAATGTGGTGGCCAACTCCACTAAAGGAAGTTGCTTTAGTATTTTATCGGAGAAAGTGTGGTGTGCGTGCTCAAAGTTGTGATGATTAAGTCCTGACCCAACCATGGAAGAAGAACCAACAATGGAAGAAGTCTAATCTAATAGCAATGTCCCAGCGACGCAGACAAAGAAATGCCTTTTTGTCTCTATCAACTCAACGTTGTATGTCCTCTGCTCTGATCACCTTGGCTGCTGAGCAGATATCACTACTCAGTAGGATGGTAGCAGTAGTAGTATAAGGTTTTCGTTGACAAAATAATTGCAATATCTGTAATTTTTTTTTTTTTTTAAACTTTCTACGTCGCTCAAAGCTCACATCACAATTATGGGAACAAATCGTTGACATCAACTGTTAAGAGTTGCATAATGTAGTATTATTACTGATTCTTGGATCTCTCGTGAGTCGCTAACGTTTGCAGTCGACCAACCAAACAAATGAAGCAAAGCTAGCAAGCAAGCATGCTCTAAGGACGTCGGATCAGTAGCGCTATAAGATGGGATGCGGCGACTCATTGCCTCAGCCCAGCAGGGCATTGAACAGCCAGTCAGTCTCCCCCATCCCCCGCGTCCCACTTGAAGCATGTCTTATCATATTATGATATACTATATATCGCCATTTACACGTCAGTCATGATCTCACTATTGTTAGCACCTGTTCGCTCCTTCCTTCTTCTTTCCTATCCACCTCAAACTTCAATCTTCAAACCCCCACCCCATATGTGATATGCCCACCTCACCTCTTTCTTTTCTTTCTTGGATGATGATTTAACCACATTCATTCTCACCAATGTTTTGAAAATCGGATCGGACAGGCCGGTTCGACCGGTCGTGCCTCCGGTCCGGTTCAATCAAAAAAGCCAAAGAATTAATTGAACCGGTAAAAATCGAGAGGTTCAATCGATTTTTATTAAATATTTATTTTCTAAAATAAATATTTTAGTTTTATTCAAAATTTTTAATACTAAAATGAATAAAAAAATTATTAAACCTTTGAATCGGGATTGAACCGTGAACCGAAAAATTTTCCGGTTCACTTCCTGATCCGAGTTTAAAAACATTGACTCTCGCTCGTACACCCTTCACTAACTCATACGATGGAGTACTAGACTACAATAATATTAGTGTATTATGCTAGTTGCGCTTGCCAGTTCATTCATATGCGTGTGTTTGTTTAAACCGTACAATCTCTACTTCCCCAATCCAAACTAGTTACTTGATACTCGAGAGATATTGAAGGAGATATAGAATCACTTTTTTTTTAATATTTGATAATTAAGTCTCGGAAAGAAACAAGAAATTTTATCCTAAAGAAAATATAAGATCTAGTTATTAACTAACTAATAGTTTTGTAATTAATCATTTCTACACCGACTATCACGATTAGTGTATATGTTATTCGATTATTTTATATATACATGTCACATTTTTTTTTTTTTACTTGTCATGTTGTAATAAGTAGAAAAGTGTTAAATCAGACTAGTCCAAAACTTGAAGCACTAACAATATAATTATCTCGTAACGTGCCTCAAATTGATAAGATTCATGAGAGGAATCTACGAGATAGCAAAGGTGAGGAGGACCCATAATGATAACACAGAGAGAGGCACATTAAAAATTGATGACACTTTTGAGGGTTTTTTTTTTTTAAAGGTGGGTGGAAGGGAGGGGTGCGGGGTGGTGTTCCCATCACAGCAAGAATAAAGCTAATTCCCCCCCAGAGAACCCAGGCCCCCACCCACTCTTGTTGGTTGTAGCTGCTCCCTCCCCCAGAAGGCTGTTGGGCTGATGACGGCTGCATGTAGTCTCATAAACCAAGACATCCTCTCTACCTTATTTCACGACCCCAAAAGGATTGTGTACTGTATTCATATCCTCCCCCTTACATCCAACAAACCTAAGCTAGCAAGTCCCACGTACCACCCTTCCTTCTTCCTTTGCATGTCTCTCTACATATATGGTTTTTTTTTTCGTTCTATTTTTTTTTGATAACGTAAACCCACTTTACCAAACTTTTTCTAGTTGCTAAAGAATCACAGTACAGTACAGTACAGCAGAACATGCCTTCTGCAGCTGCTCAACACAGTACCAACGAATCTTCTCCTGTCTGTCTGTGAGTCACTTGTTTCTTCTTCCTTTAGTTTTTTTTCTTCTGTTGGAGTGATTGCTCCTTATTCTGATTATATGAAATCAAGACGGCGTGAATTTTTTTTTCCCTATTTTAACAGATGGGACTTTTTGTACTTTACTTTTTCTTGTGGATGGTATCATTCTTATAATCTTCAGAGTCATGGAGCCGTCGTTTCTGACATCATTCCGGAACTTCTGACTGTAGCTTGAATTTAGGTCGTGTTGCTTTTCAGTTTTCACAATCGAAAGTGAACGTATTTTGTTTTGTATGCCCCATGCGCTCTAGGTCGGGACACGGAGTGTGTAGTGGTGCATCCATCTAGTCTGGTTGGTTCTGTCCTTCCTACACGGCCGGTTGGGCTTCCCCCCTTTCCCGTAGTACAGTAGTAGTTAGTGGTTATTACAGTTGGCCTTTGTACAGCAAAAAATAAAAATAAAGTTAATAAAAAAAAGAGTGTGTTTGACTTTCCTGACGACAATCTAGGTGGATACAGAGATATATAGCTTCCTCAACTCAAGGTTGGAGTCAGTCCTCTTTCAGTATCCTAGTCTTAGGCGTCACCACAATTCTCTGTTCCAGTAAAGTGTGAAAGATCCCTCTTTTTCTTTTAGAACTTTTCCCTTTGGGTTGTTTCTGCGATTGTCGAATAGCGGAGTTGGTGTTTCTTGACGTCTTTGAGTAGGCAGTCACTCTGTAGTATGTAATTTAGAGCTTTACTGTTTTGATATTTCGGGGAGTATGATCACTCTTTGGTGAAATTCTGTTTGCTGCTGCTGTTTCTGTTGTTCTCTGAAATGCATTTGTAATTGCAGTTGATCAGTGATACCTACAAAATATATTGACGACGTTGGTTGGGGCCACTCTGGCTGATTGAGTTTTGGAAGACTGTCGAAACCAATCCATCCTGGGAGTCCCTCTTCTTGTTTTTCCCATATTCACGCTGCTACTCGTCTACTTTGGTCCTTGATCTGTTTGCATTTTTTATGATTCATTAGGACTTGTGTGTGTGAAAATGGAGGTCTAAGAGAACATTCCAGGCCATTATGGGAGATGGGGCCTTCACAGCTAATGACTCGGGAACACTTTCTGACAATGTCCTGGACTTCGATCTCATGGATGAACTCTTGTTTGATGGTTTCTGGTTAGAATCTACACGGGAGTCCAACTTTTGGGAGCCTGGTCCGTCTACTACCGGTGCTTTAGATTCCCCTCTATACTATTCCCTTACTCCAGAGATTAACATAGCCCATTTTAATTCGAACCTAGATCAGGCAAGCATTTCAGAAGAAGCAAAAACGACTGATTTTGTTGACCATAAGGCTCTCGATCGTACCCAAATGGATGAATTTGGGACAAGACACCGGGAGAACCTTGACGCTGCTCTTCATTCTGCATCTTCAGGACAACCTGAAGGCTTTTTGGTAGAAGGGAGCGACATGAACAGAAGATTATGGGTTGGACCAACTGGAGATCCAACTCCAAATACCTCGGTGAGAAAGAGACTAGTGCAGGCTATTGAATACCTGAGGAAATCCACTTCTGATAAGGATGCTCTGATTCAACTTTGGGTGCCTGTAAAAAGAGGAGGCGGACGTGTTCTTTCAACTAAAAATCAACCATTCTCCCTCGATCCAAATTGCAGAAGTCTTGCAGAATACAGACACATCTCCAGAAACTATCAATTTGCCGCTGAGGAGGACTCCAAGGAGCTTGTTGGATTGCCTGGCCGTGTCTTCTTGAAGAAGTTGCCCGAGTGGACTCCTGATGTTCGTTTTTTCATGGGAGAAGAGTATCCACGTGTTAATCATGCCCAGCAGTACAATGTTAGAGGGTGTCTTGCTCTTCCTGTTTTTCAAAGAGGAAGTGGAACTTGCTTAGGTGTTGTTGAAATTGTCTCAACAGCTCAGAAAGTTAATTATCGCCCTGAACTTGAAAACGTTTGCAAAGCTCTTGAGGTTCATTCATGTCCTGATTCATTTTAATTGTTCTATGATTATGAAAAAAAAAAAAGCAGTTACTTTCTCCCACAGACTGTTGCGAGTTAAAAACAGAGACTTAATTTGTTCAAGTGTCATTGGATTTAAGATGAAATGCTGACTTTAGGATCTTGGTCCATCTTCAGTGGCATGATATGATAAGTTTTCAAGGTGCGGCATTTTGCTCGACCTGTTGGTCACAGCCCTGTATCTAATTGCACTTATTGTAGCCTATACATTGTATGTTATCAGCTTTTAGATGTTTGTTTAGTTTGACATATATCATGAAACATCAACTGCCCCCTCAGATTTTGGACTAACATTTTAAATCCTAGTCTATGCAGTTGTAGTGTTAACTCAACTTCATTTCTCCCAAATGCATCATTTTTTTTTTTGTCCTTTCTTTGGTTTCTGAGCAATAATTCATTCTTTCAGGCTGTCGATTTAAGCAGCTCAATTATCTCAACTTCTCCCAACATGAAGGTACGCACGAGAATGTTGTAGTACCTAAAAAATGAAATTTGCAATTGGAAGTTCATTCCTGATATCACATGTATGCTTTTGTCAGGATTGTGACGAGTCCTACCAACTAGCTTTAGTAGATATCCGATCTGTGTTGAAATATGTCTGTGACATGAATAAATTGCCGCTGGCTCAGACTTGGGCCTCTTGTAGCCGGCAAGGCAAAGGCGGGTGCAGGCACTCCGAAGAGAACTATGTGCGTTGTGTTTCTACCGTTGACTCTGCTTGCTATGTGCGTGATCCACAAGTTATGGACTTCCATGCGGCTTGCTCCGAGCACCACTTGCTTAAAGCCGAAGGTTTGCCAGGGGGAGCATTCATGACAGATCAACCATGTTTTGCTACTGATATCACAGCCTTCAGCAAGACAGATTACCCTCTTTCTCACCATGCCAAAATATTTGGAATGCGTGCTGCTGTAGCGATACGCGTTCAGAGTATTTACACTAAATCTGCTGACTTTGTTTTGGAGTTCTTTCTACCGCTTGATTGCACAGATGCTGAGGACCAGAAGCAGATGTTGAACTCAATATTTTCTGCATTACAACAGATTTGCCACTGTTTGCATGTCATCGCAGACCAAAAGGTAAGAGAAGAAACAACCATTCCTGATGATGAAAAGCCAAGCTCTTCTGTCAGTAAATCAGTAAAAGAGAAGACTTTAGGTTTTGTATCACCCGCTAAGGAATTATCTCTAAGCACTTCCTCCTGGGTTGCACCCGCACTAGACAACTCAGGGACGGCCAAAGATGTAGCTTTCTCTCTGGATAATCACCAGGAGGATCCAGAAGAAGAGTGCAAGTTGACAACCCAGTGGGACAACAATAAGGCGGAGCTACATCATACGCCTACATCCCCCAAGCTCATCCAAATTCAGCAACGTTCTGGATCGAAAGGAAATGTTGTGGGTAGTGAAGATGTTTCTGCAGTTGGGGTTCATAACTCAATGGGTGACAGAAGCACAGGTCAAAGAAGAAGGACGAAGACTGAGAAGAGTATCAGCTTGCAAGATCTAAGACAGTACTTTTCTGGTAGCCTGAAAGATGCTGCGAAGAGTATTGGAGGTACGAAACACTTTCACTTGGAAAAAATATATATACATCACCAGATCCAATTTATACAAGACTTTCCATACCTTGAGAGGTTTATATGCAAGTTTCAGCTTTCAAAAATCCAGAATTTCTTGGTATGGATTTCCTTTGATGTATAGTTGATTATTATCTGCTAAGCATAAGTTGACATTTAATAACTGGAGTCTAAAACTTAACATAGGAGTGATGTATTTATAAAATGCCCGACAGCAAGTATAATTCTTTCAAATCTGAAGATAACAAAAACCCAAGCGTGAGAGGGCCTCAAGGTACCGAACTGGAGTGCTAATTTTGTTCACTTCACTACAATACGAGTGAATGCATAATAATATAGTCAAATTTTCTTTCTTGAAGAGGTTGAATAGTAATAACATAGTCAGAAAACTTGGTAGACGTATAGTTATTTGGCTTTATCTGGTATAGAGTTGAAAAGCCTGTGCAGTTTTGATTGGTGGGTTATGACTTGTAGGTTTACGTACATAAACTATTCCACTTTAAATCTGGTTCTAAGGGTCTGCTCTGGAAATTTGGGGATGGCACTTGACTTCTGCTGATAGGCTAAAATTGTCGTCAATCCAATTCGAAGAGATTCTTTGTTTCATCATGATTTTGACATTGCTATGCAGTTTCACGTTCATAATTTTGACCACTTCCCTGATCACGAAAGCAGAACTCTCTAGCTTAATCTATGCCATTAATTTCCTGCAATACCAGATGGTATAGCTTGCTGAAAAAGAAATTCAATTTGTCGATCTTGCAGTATGTCCCACAACATTAAAAAGAATATGCAGGCAACACGGAATCACTAGGTGGCCTTCTCGAAAGATAAAGAAGGTTGGCCACTCGTTAAGAAAGCTCCAACTTGTGATCGATTCAGTCCAGTGTGCCGATGGCGCTATTCGACTGAGTTCTTTCTATACCAACTTCCCTGAACTGAATTCTGCAAATTTACCAACTCCAAGTAACTTGTCCATGCCACAAGGGAGCGATCATTTGCAGGAACTGACCACTCAACCTGAGGGTTGCATCTTAAGCCCTGAAACTACTGCTTCAAAATCACCTTCTTCTTCTGGTAGTCATAGCTCCAGTTCAAGTTTTTGTTATTCCACTGGGCCAATGCAGTCTCTTCCTGTCCACGTGCCCAGTGCTCAAGATGCTTCATCTGCAGAAGAGTGCAGAGCAGCACTGAAGAAAACATGCAGTGATGCAGAGTTGCATGATTTGGTTAAAAGAGAAGAAACCAAGCTTCTAGGGAGATCTCAAAGCCAAAAGATTTTCATTGATGATGCTTCTCCTGATACTCTGCCTTCCTTGCCACAGACTAGCAGCCAGATATTACAGAGTGGAAGCTTGTTTAGGGTAAAAGTAAATTTCGGGGAAGAAAAGGTTCGGTTTAGTCTACAGCCTCGTTGGGGTTTTGCAGATTTATTGAAAGAAGTACGGAGGCGCTTTAGCATAGACGATCTCATTGAGATTGATCTTAAATATTTGGATGATGACAATGAATGGGTGCTTTTGACATGTGATGCTGATCTTGAAGAATGTATAGACATACACAAATCCTCTAAAAGCACCGTGATCAGACTGTCCATCCACCAGGGCCGTCATTTTAATGTTGGAAGCACATCTGGTAGCCATGGCTCATGATAAAAATGGAAGCAGTCCAGAGTTCAATTGCTTGACACAGGTTGAACACCACACCGCTGGTGTTTGCTGATAGCAGAACAGTGAAGTTGCGACCTGTGGTTGCAGACTGAACTCTTGATGAAGGATACATGAGAGGTTGAAATGCGTTTCATTGAAAAGATATTCTTGCTGAAATCTCAAAGCGACCAATTTTAACGCTTTGCCAATGTGAGATCAGCATATTTGTGTCGTTAATCCTTGGCATTCAACTGATATGAGATGCTGCTACCCTTGTCCCATCCCCTTGTTACTGCAGCTCCACTAGCAATCTCAATGCGCATTTTTTTTTTTTTTTTGGGTGCAAATAGTATTGTGCTTGCGAAATCAGATATCCTTGGAGAACCGATGAAACACAAAAGGGATATTTACAATATTTTTAACCCTGCTTATCTTCTTATATTCAACACGAGTACATGGTATGGTTCCAAATAGAATTCTCTTTCTGATGCACACAACAACACATGGACTTCCCTCGGGCCAAAAAAGCGGAAGTCCAAACGATCCCGAGTCCTCGCGCAGTCCCTATCGCCTTGCCAGCTTGGATCCAAAACACTCGAGCAGCAAAGCTTACAACTCTCCGGGGAATATATACACAATACAACTATCATTCGTATATGCAACTATCTTGTCAACCTTGCCAACTTACAGGGAAAACTGTACAAGAATCGATATGGTAATCGGGGACTACTATAGACGTCAACCGGTTGATCTTCCTTTGGAGATTAAAGTCCTCTTCTCAGGGTCTCGTTCCATCTTTTGTTGTGCGGCGAATGGAAGCGGCAGAGGAAGCGGAAGAGGGAGAGGACGTTCAGAGTCTGCACCAGGTGTGGCCACTGCTTTTTCTGTAATGATCTTCTCTTGTTCAGAAGCAACTACAGATGGCTGTGGCTTAGGTGCGTAGTTAAAGGAGAGATCTTTGTTAGCCGCGAGTGCGAGGAGCTCCTTCTCCTCCAGGCCCTTTGTTGGCTCCAGGCTGCAAAAATCTGCGCCATACTTGGCCAACGCGTCTTTGAATTTTTTGATCTGTTATGTTATGAATGTAGTAAATTAGCCAGATACTACATGTTTATCTCTAAGAAAAAAATATTGGTTCCATGACTACTGAGAAACTAACTAACCGTGGCATTGGTACAACTGAAGCTGCAGAGACGTCCATGAGCACCCCTGTAGAAACGAAAGAAGGGCAGGACGTGGACGTTAAGAGCGTAGCACATAGACTTGTGCTCCTCATAATTCACCTGAAGGAACAGCACATCCGGATTCATCTCTGCCAATTGGCATATCTGCAATATACCCCCCAAGCACAACAGAAAGGAAGATATTACTACTTTTCCCAAAGACCCAAAAAATAAAAAGAAACGAGAAAAGAAGTCCCTTTCTTTGTAATGCCATAAATAAGCCAGAGTCTTCTGATTACAATAGATTCAGGCCGCTTCCAGAAAGACAGATAAGAGGAGTAGTAAAAGTGTGAAAGTGTGAAATATCAACCTTGGGATGAAGGGCTTTGCAACCACCGCAACCAGGGGAAAAGAAATCAACAACCACTAGCTTGTCCCCAGAGCTTAAGAGAGAATCCACAAGGTGTTGGGCACCCATGACCTCTCTCATGTTAGGTTGGAGGCCTTTCTCCCACCATTTCTGAGCTTTCCCAATAATTCCGCTGGACCTCGTCATGATCTGAGGAAGGTATAGTAAATACTAGGTAAAATTGTTGCAATCAGAAACCCAAATAAAAATATGCTCCATTTCACAATGAGAGGCCTAGCATTATTAGTACAAGTAGTTTAATTGAGGATATTGATGTGATGATATACTACCACTTACTGCTTTACTCGAACATTACAAGAAAAAATTACTCCACTAACTAACTATATGTAGTATAACAACATCTTAATACGAACTACGATGGTAAAATGAAAAACCAGTGGTAACAGTACTAGTGAAGAAAAACGAAATCCTAAATCCTCAGCTATAAAATACTAATACTACTACTTTTATTTGATAATTATAAAGATAATAGTGGGATAGGAGCCGGAGGAGGTAAGGCAGGAAGAATGTGGAGCGGGAATTGAATTGAAGAGGAAAGTAGTACGGGAGGTATCTGACCCGAGGAGGAGCAGAGGTATGAGAGGGGACGTGGCTTTTGGGTTGAGTAGACGGTAGTAGTTCCCCGCCAGAAGCAGAAGTGCAGCGGGAGGAGGAGCTGTTGTTGGTGGTGGTGGCGGTGAGAGGCCTAGATCGGAGCTTCAAGGACCGGGGGAAAGCCATGGAAGATGAAAAAGCAAGAGCAGCAGACGATGATGATTTAGTATCATCATTTCCAGCAGTAGCAGAGGGAAAACTACTCAAACGTCGTATTGGAGAAAAGCAACCGGCTGCTTCAGCCATCATTTGTTTGTTCCTGTAGTATAAATTTTTCTTTTTTCTTTTTTTTTTCGATCGATGGGTGAGGACTGAGGAGTGGGAGTCTATCACAATTACAGAGCACAACGGTACCTCTCACTAGACTAGATTGGAAGAAATGAAAGGAGCTGAATCTATCATCTCATCTCATCTCACCTGTATCTATGGAAGAGGAAGAGGAAGAAGAAGAGGTCCAAACCAGAAGTAGCTTTTCTTTTCTTTTCTTTTCTTTACAAATGGATGCTGCAGTTGGCGTTTCGGCCTTTTTTTCCGCTTTTTTTTTCTTTCTTTTTGGGGGGTTTGGATAATAAAGCGATTCTGGTCTTGACTTTGTGGTGGTAGGATCAAAGTGAAAGAAAAGGCACGCAACGAAAGACGCGGTGGCCCTGTCGTGTCCTGTCCCTGAGGTCTCTTCATATCCGCTCCCGTATCTCACTGGAGGATGATGCGATGCCACTGCTGGTTGTGTTTGGATTGCATTTCCCGTCATTTTTCATGAAAAAATTATTGTAGCGATTTGATATATGTGAGGGAAAAAGGTGATAGAGAAATATAATCACAGAAAACGACAATATTTTCTGACGAAAACAAGCAATCCAAACAAGGCTTTATTATTTCTTCTTTTTTTTTTGTGTTAGAAAATTTTCATTATGATCAGCAATAAATGTTTTTACAAATCAAACTATCATCATCTCAATTTATATATCATATCTAATTCATCATTATTTAACGGATTAACTTTTTATACACTGACAGTATAGCAGTGTAGTTCGTGCTGTATGATATAATCTAAATCTACTAGCGCAAAAAAAATGTATACGATGACAGTGGACAAAAAAATTATCCTTATTTAACACTATACTAGTGTATACTCATACTACAAGCTATTGCATTCACACAACTTTCTTATTCAATTCTGCCCCTTTTATTAAAAAAAAAAAACCCTTGCTAGAGTAGGTAGATGAATTATCAAGATGGAGGACTAAAGTGGTTCTCGCACTATGGATAGAGAATTATTTGAAAAACAAAAACACTTCTATGATATAAATGAAATAAATAATTAATTAAGAAAAATATTTTTAAAAAATTGATAGAAAACTGATGAGTTTATAATAATGAAATCAAACACTAATCTTTTTCCAAAAAAAAAAAAAAAAGAGAGCTTATCCAAACAATAATTTGTAAGGTTGAGGAAAGTGGTGGCAGTTAAGAGTTTCAAGAAATGGGACACGTAACTGAAACGGGAGTGGGGAAATGGGTCAACGACAATAATCGGAAAAATCCAAACTGCAAGAGTGCTGCTGACTGCTGAGTGGCTCCTCCTCTCTTTTGCCGGTCTCTGTTGGAGAAGGGAGATGCACATACGCTAATGTGATGGATATGCATCATATATGTGGCTCCCAGTCGCTGATATTTCTCTGTTTTTATTACTACTACGTGTCATTTTTTGAGTTCATCGGCAAAATGAGTTCATCGGCAAAAAAAAAAGTTAAAAATAAAAATCAAGAGATATTTCAGCGCTGATACATACAAACTTGCAAATTCCTAAAATCAAGCCTTAATTTATTTATATTATCAAACAAATGAAAAAAGTTTCTAGTATTTTTATTTATTTTATTATGTATAATCAACTAAACATTAAATACTCTAAATAATCTACTTATTTGTTAGGCTGTTATTAAAAATAATTAATTCTAAACTTTGAATGTATTAATTTAAACACTATATATGCACATCTAACGTGAATTTTGTTACGACGTTGACATTATAATCACTACTTTTACTTCTAATAATGAAAAATAATTCAAAAAAAAAGGTACAAATAAATAAAGAATAAGTTTGAGAAAGAAAAATAAAAATAATATGTAAATAATAATGGAAAAAGAGAAGAAAGTAGTTGATCACGGGAGAAAAATGATTAATATGTAAGCGACACTTTCGTCCTAAAGCATTAAGTAGGGGAACTAAAGAGTCTATTTATTGATTTCGGAGAGTAAATTGCTAGTAAAAAGAAAGCAGTATTTAGAAGGCTTTAATCCCATTTTTTTTATCATGTGAATAGAATAGAATACTTTACTAAATTCAAACACACCAAGTTTCCATTTTTATAATAACCGAGTCCAAACAAAAAATAAATAAAGGGGCTTTTAATCTTTCTCACCTAATAATAACAAATTATAAAGTGTGTAAATCATTCCTTGATTACTCTCTCATGACGAAAAAGAAGTAGTAGTCCCTAGTTTTGTTTCTGTATATGTTGAAAGGTTTTTCCTTTCCTTTTTTACTCTCTTTTTTTTTTTCTTTTTCTGGGGAGAAGAAAAAGAAAAAATGAAAATGAAAAAGAAATTAGCGTGTCAGAAGGTGAGCAGGGGGAGAAAATTATGGACTCGGGGCAGGGACGGTTGCAGGTGCAACCGTCCCTGTCAATTTTAGCTCATTTCAACTGCGCGTAACATTGGTTCAACTGCGCGTAACTTTTTTTTCACAGGATGTATTTTCACAACAGATAGTGGTGAACCCCACACTTGACGCGAATTTCGAGTTACATGGTGTTATTTCAGCCGCACAAAATTTTGAGGGCCAATTTTCAGCCGCACAAATTTTTAACCGTGCAGGGACGGTCATACTGATGACCGTCCCTGCCCCAAATCCGAAAATTATGGATGGACAAGAGTACTAATACTTGGTACAACATCTGTGGAATCCCCGATGGCTTTACCAGACGTACATCGAACTAAACAAGTGGATTAGATTCGATTGGATAAATTCCCCCATCCCATCCCAGGTGCTGCCAAGTGCCACTAACCACCTCTCGACAGTCGACACTCTTCTAACTGTCTGCCTTTGCAGATTCTACTGGTACATGGTGTGGACAGACAATGAAATAATGGGGTGAACGTACGCTGACACGAATGTTTCCTAGTGAGTTGGAAGTGTCCAAAGAAGAATGGATATTTTCTGAGTTGTCTCGCCACCTCAACGTTACGTTCTCTCACAGCTTTAACTATCATACAAGAAGAAAGTGGAGCTACGTAACAATTTTAATGATTATCAAGTGGCTCCCTTCGTTTCCAGCATATTTCTCTTTTGAAAAAATTTATCTTCTTTTTTTTTTTTATGATTCCACCATTACCCCTTATCTGCTAAATATTTAATTAATCTAATACCCATCCAAATATTAAAGCAAATACTGTAATTTGCTGTTTATCATCAGGGATTAAATTACATGTGGCATCAAAAATGCTATATCATTCTTTATATTTTACTTAATGTAAGATCTAAATTGCTCTCTTCTGTTACAAATCCATTATCAAACATGACCAACAACAAATAATTAAAAATCTGTAACAAAACTATTATAAAGACCAGATTTTAATGCCATAAAAATCTCAACAACTAACCTTATTATGTTAACATGAATGTTTATGATGTTAAAGTTTGTTCTCTGTAATATTTTGGTTGCAAATTTTTGAATTATTTATTGTTGATCATGTTTGACAATGGATATGTGATTGAAAAAAGTAATATGAATCTTATGTTAAGTGAAAAATATAAAATGATATACTAGTTTTTGATGCTATATGTGATTTGATCCCTAATGATAAATAGCAAATTTTAGTATTTTTCTTTAATGTGTAAATAATGCAATAGATGAGGGAGCAGTAATGAAATCATATAATCCGCTTTCACATTATATTACTTTTTAATTATCGATTAAGTCTAAATGTTACAAATAATTAACTTCAAAAAAGGTTAGCATAATTTTCCGTACTTGGAGAGAAGCCAGTGAAATAGTCAAAAATATCAGGGGGAGGTTTCTGAAATTATTCCTAAAAAATAATTGAGAAATGTGCTTAGGACGTAGGAAAAAAAATTAGAAAATTTAGCAATCCAAACAATTTTTAATAGCATCTAATCATGCTATTTTAAAAAATGACCTTAGAAACTTTTAAGTCCAAAGCAATAATATTTCTCTCTTTTTTAAATATTATCAATAAAATATATATAATAAACGGATATAATTGGATTAGCTGTTTTTGGGTGTTTTAAAAAATTTTGCTGTAACAAAGTTTTTAGAGTATATTTTGGAATATTTTTAGAAAATATTTTGAGATATTTAAGAGTAGAAGAGTTTCTCGAATATATTTTGAAATATTTTTTAAAATTTTAAAAAAATTTAAACTAATTTTTAGATTATCTTTTAGAGTACTTTTTAAAAAAATTTTATTGTATTTGAAAAATTAGTTTTTGAAAAACACTCAAAAAACAGTGGATCCAAACAAAGTAGGGGCGCAAGATATGCACAGTACATTCATACAAAGAAATTGACAATATTTTAGCATTTTTGGACTTTCAGTAATAATTTCACATGTTACTATGTTGTTTTTTCATTACTATAATTTCACATGTTACTATAATAATTTTTGGACCATATCTATAAATAAATTATTTTTTCATTACCGTGTTAGGGATATTGATTTTTTAGACACTATTTGTATTGAGTGTAGGTGTTATAAAATATTATACTTGATTAACGATTTTAATGAAAAAATAGACAAATTGAGAAAAAAATGATGTTAGGGAATAAAGTACAAAATAAGTTGGGGAATTACAACATGCAACTATTAAGAGTATAATGTCATTTTGACATTACCATCATATAATGTTAGAGTCAACTAATGGTTTAGAAAATAAAGTGAAAAAAATTAAAGGACAACATGCAAAAATAAATATATTTTAGGAGGAGTTTTTGTAATTAACCCAAGATAGAACCAAAAGAAGATTGACTTGTTCAAATCAAAACGACGTGGATGATATCGATTTAATATCTATTTTTGGCTTTTTTTCAGTATTATTTTACACCACTAAGTTTGAAGAGACATGCTCATTCGAGTAATGTTGAATTACATTGAATTCGACCTCGAGTATAGTGCTATTTGCTCGACTAGATTTAAATACACCCATTAAACAAGGTTATGCTAGTGAGAAGGCCTAAAATCTCTGGTGCCACTTTTTGTTCCATTTTTTATTATATTGTTATTTTTCCTTCATAAACATCATATTGCTATCAAATTAGAATTGTAATTGTGGAATATCCAATTAATACTAAGTCCCTTTTTTTTCTCCCATTGTAAATCGTAGAACCTAACTTTTACAATTAATCTATATTAATTTCCAGAATTAGGGAATTGAAGAAAAAGATAGGTAAGTGAGTTCTAATTTTCTAGCTTTGATTAGCGGATTTAGAATAAACACCCTGTCGTGCTGGCTCAGCTCAGCAAGAGGCAACTTTCTTTAAAAAAAAAAAAAAAAAAAAGAAAGCCCAGACCAACAATTGACCGATTTTCCTCCTTTTTTTTTTTTTTTCCATCGATAATTTAAGGAATTAGCCTGGGCGTGTACCCGCAGCTGCGGTAGAGTGAGCGCAATGGAGATGCTAGACTAGAGAGTAGAGACCTCTCGCAACTTCCCTTCCCTGGCAATGTGGTTTTCCAATCCAATCTAGAGGCTCTCTTTCCCCATCATCCCAATCATAAGATGATTCGCCGGACTTCTTATCGGCATCAGTTCGTATACCAAAACCTTCTCCTGTCCTTCCCCACAAATACTTTACTATTTCCTCCCCTCAGCTTTACTAGATTGGGATGCCCCAAGCATGCATTTCGACGTCTTTGTTTCCTCCCGGTGAAACAGGACTTTAATTGCTACAATCTCATGAGCCTGCATCTTCATCAATTCCAGGGCATATACAAATAAAAGTTTTCAAGTACTAGCTAGCGGTATGGTCACGCAGCTAATGAAAGTAAATACTTCACCTTTGCCTTTTTCACTTCCACCCGTTTGCTCTATTGCCTCAACTGGAATTTTTCCCTGTATTTCTTTGTATTATAATTTATTTACACAATGCACTTTGCTTTCTACGTTCTATAAAAGAAAAATAGATGAAACATTTTGGACTTCCGTTTGCCAGTAAACTAGCATTCATTCACTCTTAAGAATAATAACGGCGACACCATGGGCATGGTAAAGGTTGCTCATTTATTCCCTCCAATTTCGCCTGCTATTTATACGTGTGTGGTGGGCTGCCACTATTTTAAGAGGAAGTGAGGTAGAATTAAAGCCCTTCCGATGATTTTTTTTTTGGGTTGATTTAAGAAGAGTTTGGTGCTTTCCAGGCCAGAGCTGCTGCTTGCTTCACATTCTTTGTCTTTCTCCATTGTAGTGTAAGAAAAGTCCTGAAGAATTTGCTAATGAACCAGATGCAGAAGCGGCCCTCTATAATGGTTTTAACTTGATTGTTGATCATCTTTGATCAATGTCCATGCTCTACATCACCAACTGCCAAAAGACAGCGGCATTATTGCTACACAGTTTCTCCTGCTATTCATGTCTTGTCTAATGCAAAACTCTGACAGGCCAGCCCATGCCCTAAGGTTAGTTTGAATATTCTCTGATACTTGCTTGTTACTCGTATTTCATTTTCTCGTACCCAAAGTCGAGGGATACATCTTCACCAAATTATTAACTTATCTGAAGCAGAATCTTCTCCCTCTCAAGCTAATAGTACAAGGCTATATATCTTTTCAGTTTGGATTATTCCCTGATTTCTTCAGCTGGTCTTTAAAAAAAAAAATTCACTGCTGAATTTTTACAGCAAAAGTTTGAAGTATAATATTTTCCTTGGGCAGTATCATGCCATGATTTTAAGTAGTGAAACAGAAGCAGCAATATGTTTAAGGGCATTATCTAATACTTAGAATAAGCTTGATGCTGGAACAAAGTATTGACATGTATTCCTGTCGAAGGAAAGTAGATAGTAACGCTTGTGAAATATCATGTGAACAGAATTTTTGCTATAACTATATATACATGTTATCTTGAAAGAGATTTGCAAAACAGTTTGATCAGGAACGGACGAAGCTTTGAACAGTTGTGGACATTTCAGGCAAAAAGGCAGTTGAATTAGGAGATTTCCTTGGGGCATGTTTGTGTTCTAAATTTTAGTCTCTTCGTTGAAGTTATTTTCAATTTTCACGCATATTGTCATTTTTATAGTCCCGCAATCAAAGCAACATTCTACTTTGCATGTTTATTAGACCATAAGTTTATATCACTGCAGGCTGAAAGATTGGAGCAAAGTTTCAAGGATCCAATGGATAATATGGCGAAGGAGAGGTTCCCTTAAAAGAGACGTCTAAAAAGTTAATGCATGGCACCACTAAATGTTTTCTGGACTGGGACTATCATTTGAGTTCCATATTTGTTGATGCTGATTTGCCTATGTTAATCTCGCTCTCTCTCTCTCATGCCCTCGGGCTCACAAGTTGTGTACGTGCATGCTAGTGTTCATGTGAATGACCATTGAAACATGTCTTTTTGCGTATGCTGAAGAATATCTCAATGCGCTCAAAGATTCTTTAATTTATGTTTAATGCACAGGGACGTTATGGTACTAGAAGTACGTCTGCATTGACTATGAATACAAGTGGGAACATGCCATTTTTTGAAAAGTATCTTGATGCAGACTTGTTGAAGACGCAGACCATCAGCTTCCAGATTAGGCAAGAAAAGATGACATTGTGTCTTTCAAGAATGTTAAAACTAAACAAACCTGTAACACATATAGGTAAATCTACTTTACAATACTTGTATCTACAGCAAAATAGTTGTGTTCATCCTGTTTTTGTTGTTCCTTTTTCATTACTCCTCGTCCATATTCTGAACATGTGAATAAACCTCTCAGTTAATATGCCCTGTTTGAAGATTGTTTAGGGATGAACTAACTTGAAGCATATTAAGTCTCTCAGGTTTCAGAACTTTGTCACCCTATGGCACCAACGTGCTCTTTTTTCCTAGTTTAGCTAGTTGATTTTAAAGAGGCTTCTAGGCTGGCTTACATAATTCAAAAATGTTAAAACCAGTCAGTTGCCGCTCCTAGAGTTTCAGAAGAACTAGTAACATCCATAGCTGGTGCCCCACTGGCTGCAAATTTTCAAGAAGCAAGCTGGCTGAGATGCATAACTTAACTCCAGTGTAACTTGTGTTCTAATGCTCTATTTGCTCTATTTTCTTTTCTTGAGTGCACATTCCATGAACAGAAGGACCTCTGTTCCTAAAAGAAAGAAGCATGTGAACAGAGAAAAACTTTCACTACTTCCTCTCAGTATAGCAAGTAAAAGATTAATTCAATTGCAATGGAAAACAGTATAGATAAACAAAACATGGAGGAGGAACTCCTGCTGCTATTGGTTGTTTTGATTCCTGAAATTAGTTAATAGGTGGATGTTTCTCAAGGCTAGTATCGCACATTTGATGTGGGTGCAATCGCCACAACAGAATAGAAGGCCTTTCGGGCGGTTGACCAAGGGTCAAGTGCTAAAAATGCAGAAGCAACCCATTTAAACACATACCTATTTTTTCACTAAAAATCACTGAGAGATTGTTCTATTTCTCAAAGTCACTGGTTTCTCCATCCATGCTCTTACTATTTTTTTTTTTGGCTTTAGAGAAAACTGTCTGTCTTCTCTTTTTAAGTTCTGTATCTAACTTTTTGTTGCAGGATGCGAAACTAAAATCTGCAACCAAGTATGAAGAATCTGTTACTTTCTTTATGAAGGCAAAGAGTTTCAGGCTTTGTTTTATTCAGGAAAATAAAAAGAGTTGATTCGTTAACCTTTTCTTCTTCTTTCTTTTTTTTGGTTGTTTTATATATATCCGCTCTGTGCTATATTTCTTTTATTTTACTTTTGGCTTATTTTGTTAGGGTAAGGGAGAAAGGGAGAGACGAAAAAGGAGGCACCTTTTTTAAAGGTAATTTGCATGGATCCAACCTCTTATTTTTTTCCTCTCTCGTGTTCCTTGACGTTCAATTTAATATGGGCCTCAGTAATATCTTACTTCAGCATATTAGTAATTAAATTCAATGTGTTCTTAATTTCTTATTTTGAGCTTTTGTTGCTGAAAATCTGGACCTTTGTCTTACGTGTTTTGGTTTATTGGTCTTTTAGCTGATTTTGAGAGTTTAAAAATTGAGAGTTTATTACCGTCTTTGTGTTCATAATTTCTAGCATTCCCAACTTTCTTTTCCTTTGCAAAACAGATTCGGTGCGACAAAATGCTTCAATGTGCTCGCATTTGTCTCCCAATTTTATTGAACGGTCTCATATATAATATTTATTAGAGCAGTGCCTGTCAGAGAATGTTTTGACATTAAGTTCTGTCTGAGTTTGTCATAATATTTTGGGAAAAATGTTGTTGTTAATGATTACTATCTGATAGATTAACAGGTACGGACACATATAACCCTGATCAAATCGCAGAGGAGAAGGCAAAAAAAAAAAAAGCGTAGAGTTCGGATTTACCAAGATTTTAATTGTTTACAGTTTCTAGGCACTACCATAACAATAATATGTTTGGTGAATTCTAGACCATTAAATTCATGGCTCTGACGAAGTTGTTTTGCAGTTAAATACAGTATGGTGGCTTATTCACGTCAAAAGTTTAGATAGCCTATTTTACTCTGCAACCTATTTTATTCTGCAATTGTTGATAAGTTACCTGACTTGAAAGGTCTAGAAGCTGCAATGAAATCCAACAATTTCGGGAACTATTAAATTTTTGAATTATGACCAAGATCGGTGGTGCTGAGACACAGTGTGTCAGAAACTTTTTGTTTTTCTCAAATAATTCAGAAACAGACGGACGTTATTGGTGCTATATGACATGACTAAGAGACGTCGTTTCATATACATTTAACTGCTAATGTCTTCTCTGTTGAACTAATTGCTCACAAGTAACATATTTATTAGTTTTCTTTTTGCTTTTTTGACTATGATAACTTTGACTTTCTGAAAGTTAAAAAGAAGCCTTTAGAAAGAAGCACTTGGAAGATAGGACCAGGCTGTCTATTATATTACTATTATTCTTTGCTCCTTTCTGATTTTCCTGTTTTGAGTTGGGCACTTCATTCTGCCATAGGATTTGCTGGATCTCCTTGGTTGTGATTCTACTGGCCTATGCTATGCTGAATGTTCAATAATATCATGTTTTCTCTCGCTTTGTTTAGGAGTTGCTAATTCCTTTGAAGGCCATACCCAACTTGCCACTTCCTGATTTAGGATCAGATTTGAGCTATCACGATTTTGATGAGCAACTTTCACTTCTTGAAAAGGTTTTTTTGGCTTCCTCTCTTTTGAAAGATTAAAAATTACCGTGTGTAGTAGTTGTAGTTGTAGTAGTTGTTGTTGTTGTGCCTGGAAAAGTCCTAAGCGATGGTGGGTGATACTACTGTTGTTTGGAAAAGATGGAAAGGACATGGCCTTTCAATGGGCGAGGGGACGTACGATGTTAGAACATATTATTGTAGGATGATTTTACTGCTCCAGTCTTGTGGACATTACTTGATACGTCATTCATGTACTTTATTCAGTCCTAATGGATTGAAAGAATATATAAGAAGGTTACATGCTCGGGTATGGGGAATTTGTAATTAATTGAGACCTGATGTTATTATGAAGAAATAGTTACCAACGATCCCTTAGGTTAAGCTGCCTAAAAACTGAAAAGATTTATACATGACTTGGAAGAAATTCCAATTGTTTGCAAGGAAGCCTGATTAGTCTCGCTTGTTATCATCATGTTAGTTTCATACGCGTATTTCGACTTTTAGTTTGTCAGTCCGTTCGATACGGATACCTACTTGAGAGCGTCGAATTCGTCCTTTCCAGCCATTTTCTGCCAAACATCTTTAGTTGCTTACTTTTGAGTAAACGCGTTCCTGTTTGAGCAGAAACTAAGCAAAAAAAATAAATAAATTTTTTGTGGAAGTGGAGATTTCTCTTATTAATTTAAGATTGCGTAGAATGCTGTATCAATACCAAAAGTCTCTGATGAGATTATATGCAATTGGCACCAACATATAGTAATCAAGAGGGTACTTGAGCTCCAGTTTGAACTTGAGTCGACTTAAGTTTCACGATAGACTGGCGAGCAACGCGATTCGTTCGCAGTCCAAGAGCCAAGTATGGAACTACTGACTCCCTTACGAGTAAATTGGCTCACTTTGGATCCTAGAGCGGGCCAACCCTAACTACCGTAGGACATAGATATTAACAGAAATGAATTGGATTTTCAAGCGTGTGAAATTTGTCATGTAGCGTCTCATCATCAAAGAAAAGAGTAAGAGGCGGCTCTCTTTTTTTTTTTTTTTTTGGTCAGTAATGATATATTTGTATAACCTACTCTATTCTAATTCTAATTTAGGGGGAGGGAGAGTTTAAGGAGACTGTGATAAGGAGCTAGTAATGATATATTTGTATAACCTACTCTATTCTAATTCTAATTTAGGGGGAGGGAGAGTTTAAGGAGACTGTGATAAGGAGCTAATAGGTATACAGACACGTAACTAAATTAAGGGAGTAGTATGGCACAATCGAGTAAGAGGCGGCTGTGAATGCTGAAATTTGATTATATGCTATGCTAGACTGGTTTGGTTGTTACGACATACTGATACAGATACAGTAGTAGCTCTGCTGGATATGATGGCACTCGTCTCTATATTGTGCTGCAGCAGATTGACTGGTGGACCCTCTTATTAGCTGTTTCTCATAAAAGTCCGGTGGCCCATGTTGAATCATATGATGGTCTGAACGATGGCGAGAAGCAGCTCCTACAGTCTCCTCACCGTCCTTGTATGACCAGCATTCCGAAGAGTAATAGCTCAACAAATTCTCCTCCCTCCATTTGTTTCAAAGAGTAATAGCTCGACAGAGCACAGTCTTTGATATAATTAGATTCTTATTCCTAGTAATTCCTCCTCAGATACGATTTCTTTAAATTTCTCTTAGTAAATTAGAATATATTAAATTATAAAAAATATTATTATTATTATCATTAAAAAAAAAAAAAGCAGCTGCTTGGACACACACAACAAAGGGAGGTTAGACAAGCGTTGCAGCCGTCTGGCACTTGATGCACTTCTCCTACTTATTAGTACTGACAACTTAAGCGGGTAGTACTCCCTTCCTTTCTTTCACCGAAAAAAACATTTCTTCCATCACAGCTGCCCCCCACTCGCTGCAACCAGTCTGTAACATTTGTCCAAAGTGAATTATCCCTCTCCTCCAGGAGGACCCATTGCCCTTTATTGCGCCATGGGTCGGCAACCAACCCAGAAAACCCTCCCCAATAACCATTGCTGACTTCATATTTATATTTATAATACTAAAAAAAAAAAAAAAACAGTCATAATATCCAAATAAAATATTATTTGAAATATTATTTGAATAGATTATTATTTGAAATGGATTTATTCAAATAAAGTGTGTTTGAATTACACATTATTTTTACCTTATGTACACACTACTGACTTACTTGTATCATTAACATATTTCTTAATCACCTTTTTATTTCATATATATTACATAAAAAAAAAGTGTAACATTATTATTTTTATAGAATTATTTCAAATAATTTACTATCCAAACACACTAATATTATTTAAAATAATTATTATACTATTTTTATAATATCATATATGTGAAATAAAAAAATAATTAAAAAATATGTTTATGCTAACGAAATATTTTGTTTGGATGGTAAGTTATTTGAAATATTTTTATTGTAACATTTTTTATGATGTGATGTATGTGAGATGAAAAGATAATTGAGAAGGTAAAAAATGTATTGAAAATTATAATGATGATATAAACAAATATATTTGAAAAAATAAAGTCCAATCCAAACAAACCCAATATTAATATTAATATTTGTTTGGATAGTGTATTATTTGAAATATTATTTGGAATAAATACTGTAGCACTTTTTGTGATTTAATGTATGTGAGATAAAAAGGTGATTGGGAATATAAAAAGGTAGATTGGAAAATGTGTTTGTGATGCAAGCAAAGTATTATTTGAAATAATTCTGATATCCAAACACTCCCATTATTATTTGAGATAATTTACTATCCAAAGTCCTTAATCTGATCCACAGTTTCGGGTGGTGAGAAAGCCAATAAAATTCTCCGGCATGCCTTGCAACTCTCCTCACAGTTACTGCTGCTACTGCTTGGTGCGGTGGAGCATCACAGAAAATATCATGAAATCGTATTCTACTAGTACCATATATTTTGCCTCTTTATACATACATCTGCCTGTGATTAATAACAGAAAAAGGATCCCCAGAAAGAAACCCAGCAGCTAAACCACCAAAAAAAAAAAAAATCAATAATCCCATCTTCATCTTAGTAACCCACCCTCATTTCACAATTCATGATAGTCGCCAGTGTTGAATGATAATGGAACTCCCCGGCAGGCAGGAAGGCGGCGGGCAAATCAAGAAAGAATATGAATGTAGACTACCAGACTGACTGACTGACTTAAAAAGAATAGTACTCATACTGTAGCAAAGTGCTACTGTAGTTGTAGCAGTAATGTCTACTACAACTCTACATAGGAGTGAGTACAATTGCAGAGGAGAGGAGAGGAGAAGACGGGACTCGCCTCTCCGGGACTCCTAGTCCAACGCATTCGGACCCGCACAGGCCTTCAAAACAGGACTCCAGATCCACTGCACCAAAAACTTCCTGCCCCTCCTCCCCTTCACGTTGTACGTCCTTCCCTCTCTGTCCCTCATCACCTGCCCGATGTACCCTCCCCGCCCCCCGTCCCGTACAGCCCCTCGCACAGGTCCCCGATCTCCGTCGGCGCCGTGGGGTCCTCCCCCGCGTACCACGCGTTCACCAGCGGGTTCGATGCCAGCTCCGCCAGCTCGTGCCCGATCACGCTTATCATCCCGTCCACCCCACGTCCGCATTCGGAGGGGCCAGCGCTCCCGGCCCGCCTCCCCCCATGTACCCGGGCACGGCGAACGGGTACGCGCACACCTCCGGGCACTGCTTCCCGGAGTTGCCCACCCAGGCGTACGGCAGCGTGTAGCCCACCACGGACGGGAAGGTGAAGTAGTGGAAGCCGCATACGGCCCGGCAGAAGTCCTGGACGGTGACGTCCCCGGAGGTGAGGATGAGATAGATGCCGTTCTTGTGGTCGACGGGGAAGGGCTTGGATCGGACCGCTGCAGCGATGACCTGCTGCATGGAGAGGCGGGTGAGGTGGGTGCCTTGGGAGCAGCGGGTGTCGGAGTACTCGCCTGCGACGAGGACGGAGCTGGAGATGTTGGCGCCGGTCTGGTCGGTGTAGAGGGAGACGGTGCGCCACCACTGGGAGACGGAGGGGGAGGGAGCGGCGCGGCGATCGGAGGTGGAGATGGAGAGGAGGAAGTCCTTGATGAGGAGCTGGTGGGAGGCGGCCCAGCGGCCGTACCAGATGAGGTAGATGTTGATCGGGGAGGAGAGGACGGGGCCCATGTGGTAGCGAAGGTCGACCAAGTCGGAGGAGCCCTCAAATTTCTTGGAGGCGGAGAGGGACTTGGGGGAAGCTTTGGGTTGAAGTAGGAGTCCGATTGTGTTTGGAGAGTCTGCTGCTTAGCCGAGGAATTGGAGGCGGCAGCAGCATTGTTGAAGGGGACGATGAGGAGGAGGAGGAGAAGAAGCAGCGGCAATAGTGTCTGTGCTCCTCCTCCTCCTCTTACTGCTGTTTTAATCAACATTTTTGCGTGTAAATTTTTTTTATAAAATAAAGTCACTTTCCTCCTCCGGGAGGGGAATAAAAGTATAGCGCCAGAAATGGAAATGGTTGAGGCGGGGAAGGGGACTGGGAAGAGGAGGGAACAGCGGTAGGGAAGCAAGGGGGAAGTTTGCGTTTGCCGCGAGTGAGGAGAGGGTTTCTCTGATCTGTGAATTTATAGGAAAGGGAGAAGGAAGTCCCTACTCCGATTTCTGAAACTCTCCAAGAAGTTCTTTTTTTTTTTAAAAAAAAAAAAGTGTGTATTAGGACAGTAGTGTCGCACACACAAAAGTGTGGGTGTGTGTGTGGGATCTCTCTGCGCTGTGGTTTGGGAGGGAAATGGGCTGGTGACAGCTATTATCAGGGATTTGGATTTCAATTCATTTTATGTGGGCACGGGCACAGCAGTCGAGTACCGACCAGTGTCAATTGCGCTTTTTGAGTTATTTTAACAAATTTAAACTCGACTCACAAATTCATATATTATATGAATGATTGGATATTGAGCTTTTGGACTTTAAGCTCACATTAAAAGGATTAAACTTAATTCACATTGCTATATTATAAGAGTTTGGAGCTCAAATTGACATTGATCCAAAGTCATGATTAAATACATAATTATATATAGAATTAAATGCAAAAAAGCCTCACGAATTTATTGCACTAGTTGCATTTTGCATCCTAAATTATTTAATAGGCACTTTACATCCTTAGTCAATTAGAAAACAGTAAGAAAATTAACTCTATCCAAATAATTGATGAAATGACCCATTTATCATCCACTAAAAGCTTGTAAAATGACAAAAATAATTTTTTGGTAGGGAAAATTGTCACCTTAAATGGATTAATTTTCACTTCATAATAAAATTCTGACTGAAAACATATAACAATAAAAT